AATGTCGGATTAAAATTTATGAAATTGGTCAAAGTGAAATATTGCCTAAACCATAATGACTAATGGCGTAATTTACCCTTTGAAATGCATTTATGGCTCTCAAAGTTGTGTTTACATGGTCTTTGGCACACAAGGAGCTCAATACCAATGATTTATTTAATCCAAAAAAAGAAACTTAATCGCATTTTACATCATTGGTGTATTATGTCTAGATGATTTTTTTTTCTTGTGAATATGGAATATGGATTAGGTAGCTCCTTCTAATGTTCAGATGATTTAGATTGATTTTAGGGGCTTGCGTTCTAGTACAAAGGCTGGTGCTTTATGGAATGCTTCAATATGTGTAGTTCTTTAGATGCTATGGTCGGAAAGAAATGTACGGATATTTGAAGATAAGTTTTGTTGAATTGGGAGAGTTATGAATAGGGTTTGTTACTTAACTTCATTTTGGGTTTTAGTGTCTCCCTAAGAAGCACAGATACTCCAAGATGGGTGATGTGTCCGTGTCCAACATGACATGTTCACATATCTATACAATGTGGCGTGTCAATTTTTTTAATTATTATTTTTTTTCAAGACACGTTTGGGACATTTCATGGACGTATTTTTTGTGTCTACACGTCTCAAGACACTTTTGCGGGTTTTGTTTTAGAATTTAGAAATTTGTTATGGGGTTAAAGTGAAACGTATTGAAACAAAGAGGGGGACAAGTGAAAGGAAATACAGTGACATAAATCGAGTCCTCTCATATCTCTTTGCCCTAAATTTATAATCATTTACAAAAGAAACAAAAATATATAAAAACAAAATTTTCCTATCATTGTAGTATCTGTATCCTAATTTTTTTCAAATTCAGTTTGTCTCATGTCCGTGTTTGTGCTTCTTAGGTGTCTTCTCCTTAACGGAGATTCTTTTGTTCTAGATTTGTAGAGATTGGAGAGTAGTGTGTGATTAATAATCTCTTTTTTTAGTTTTTATTTTTATATTGGATCTTTGGTCCTCTCTTTATTGTAATACTTTTCCTTATTTAATAATATTTTCTTTTGTTGCTGATCAAAAAAAAAAAGGAAAAAATAAAGAAAAAAGAAGCCACCTTCAATTGTAATAGTGATAAGTTAAGAAGCATGGACACGGGCATGTAACACGACACGGATACGACATGGACACGCCGACATGTTAATTTTCAAAATATACAGGACACAACACGTGGGGATACACAAAAAATATATAATTTTATATATTTATTATATGTTATATATATGAATATATCTTTCAAAGATAATAAAAAATGCAATATGATACCAATTTCTATAAATTTATATTCATTTATTATTGTATCTTCAGTTGTTTTGTTCAAACTTATAATTAGTTTCACATGTGTCTAATTGACAAACACGTGTGTTTAAGCGATTGACACGTGTGTCCTCCAAATGTCCAAAGAGTGTCTGGATCTTTAAAAAAATTTAAAAAATAGGACATATTTTGAAGAGTGTCGAACACGTGTCCTAAGAGTGTCCAAAGAGTGTCGGTGTTCGACATAGACATGACACGGATACGTCACCTTCTTAGAAGTATCTGTGCTTCTTAGGTGATAAGTAAATGTTCAATCATTGTAAGATTACACCAATGATTCTCCTTACCTACTTGCGCTAGTGTTTTTTTGATTAGCGAATGTTAGTTGTTATTATCACCAATGGGAGTAAGCCTCCCCACCCTTCCAGAGCACCAAGTTCTTGTCTCTTAATTCAACTCCCCCTTAAGAAGAGTTGAACCCATGACCTCTCCCTTGGGATTAAACCCTTAGGAGAGTCATGGTGGCTAACTAGTTTAAGGCTAGTTGGTTACCTACTTGGGCTTGTTATGGATGAATTGACTAGACACATTCAAGATGATGTGCATTAGTTTATGATGTTGGCAGATGATATTTTTCTGATGGATGAAATTTAAAGAGGAATTAACACTAAATTATGATGAAGTGCCTTGGTGTTAGCACCTTAGGACATGGACACTTAGGTTGGCATGCGGTGGTAGGCATGCCTAAGTCAAGGTAACAATGTGGCAGTGGCAATGCCACAAGACTCAAAGACAAGTGATGCTTCATGTGGGCAAATGCAAGACTAGACTTGTCTTAATGTTACTGGTAGCGTGGACTTGTTAGGTCAGACAAATCAGTGGACTTGACACTTGGTGGCGGACCAAGGGCTGGCACTAGCATGGGCTAAGCAAACCAAGACTCAATACTTTATGGGTCAAACTCATGAGGGTTTAAAGGCTGATATGGATGGCAGTTCGTGGCAATTATACTGGCATGATGCAAAGCTGAAAGACATGGCAGTCATTGTCAGTTATGCTTGCAAGGGGCCATGACACAGCATATTGGAATGATGGATCTAGCCCAAGGCAGTTCCTGGCGATTACTGGCAGTTATTCCTACAGCAGCCTAAAGAGTGTCTGGATCTTTAAAATTTTTTAAAAAATAGGACATGTTTTGAAGAGTGTCGAACACGTGTCCTAAGAGTGTCCAAAAAGTGTCGGTGTCCAACACGGACATGACACGGATACGTCACCTTCTTAGAAGTATCTGTGCTTCTTAGGTGATAATTAAAAGTTCAATCATTGTAAGATTACACCGATGATTCTCCTTACCTACTTGCGCTAGTGATTTTTTGATTAGCGAATGTTAGTTGTTATTATCACCAATGGGAGTAAGCCTCCCCACCCTTCCAAAGCATCAAGTTCTTGTCTCCTAATTCAACTCCCCCTTAGGAAGAGTTGAACCCATGACCTCCCCATTGGGATTAAACCCTTAGGAGAGTCATGGTGGCTAACTAGTCTAAGGCTAGCTAGTTACCTACTTGGGCTTGTTATGAATGAATTGACTAGACACATTCAAGATGATGTGCATTAGTTTATGATGTTGGCAGATGATATTTTTCTGATGGATGAAATTTAAAGAGGAATTAACACTAAATTATGATAAAGTGCCTTGGTGTTAGCACCTTAGGACATGGACACTTAGGTTGGCATGCGGCGGCACCTTACACCTATGTCAACCGTCCAAGTTAGGCATGAGGGAGGCATGCCTAAGTCAAAGTAACAATGTGGCAGTGGCAATGCCAAGGCAAGTGATGCTTCGTGTGTGCAAATGCAAGGCTAGACTTAGCTCGAATGCTGCTGGTAGCATGGGCTTGTTGGGTCAGACAGATCAGTGGGCTTGACACTTAATGGTAGACCAAGACTCACAAATTCGTGGGTCAAACTCAGGAGGGTTTAAAGGCTGACATGGGTGGCAGTTCATGGCAGTTATGTTGGCATGATGCAAGGTTGACAGACATGGCGGTTATTGGCGGTTATTGGTAGTTATGCTCGCAAGGAGCCATGACAAAGAAGGCTGAAATTTAGGATTTGGTCCAAGGCAGTCCTGGTAGTTACCAACAGTTACTTTTTGCAGCAGCCTTTGTTGGTTTGAATTTACCATAGTAGTTGGGGGTTTTCAACTGCTCATAACTGATTTGTAAATGCCTTTAAAATGCCAAGGCACTGAGAGTTTCAGGCAGAGGGTGTAATTTGTACGAATGCTCATGTATCCTTATATTATCTGGTGGGAATAAAGGTTGGGAACAGTTCCTGTAATGTGTTTGTGTATGCTTGTTTGTTTACAAATTTCATTGTGAGTAATTAGTGCATGTTTGGTTGGGACTAAGTGCTATAACTTAATGCCATTGCAGGATGAAAATTTACTCAAAAATTGACCCTATAGCACTTGGTATGATGTTGGCAGATGATATTGTCCTAATTGATGAGATTAAAAGAGGAATAAACACTAGACTAGAAATTTGGATGTAATTGAGTAGAAAGAGTTTAAAATAAGTAGGATTAAACTGAGTACATAGAATGTAATTTTAGTAAACAACAAAAGTAGAAGGAAAAAAAAAGTAGAGAAGTACATGATCAAAAACCAAGAAATACCCAAGAGTGAACAATTTCATTATCTACATTCAATTATTAATAAGTTGGAGATTATTAGTAAGTGGAGTGATTTCGGCATGTCTATGAAATTGACAGAGAATATCTAAACTGAAGAAATAAATTTATGGAACTACTATAAGGCCAACAATGTTGTACTAGATAGAATAATGGACAACTAAGAAACAACACATTAATATGTGTGTAGTTGGATGCTAAGGTGGATGTGTTGTAATACGTGGGAAGATAGAATTAGAAATGAATACATTTGAGAAATGGTAGGAGTAGACAAGTTGAAGATAAGTTGAGAGAGAACATACTAAAATGGTTTGGTCATATATAATAATGACTGGTAGATACAATGGTAAGGAAGAGTGATATGATCAATGTTAATGGAAATGCTAGGGGGAGGGGAGTAGTTAAATTGACAAGAAATATTGAAGTGAAAAAAAAGGACTATTACAGAAAAAAAAAACCCCCGAGATTTGAGCCTCGTAACAAAATAAACCCGGAGTTAAATGTTGTCAATTTCAATCGTAATCTTTTGAATTGTTTTCAATTTAAATTATTCGCTTATTTTTGTTAAGTGAAATTGACGGAAAAATGGGTAGTTTAGTCATTAAACTCAATGTTGGTGTAAGGAAAACTAAAAAATTGTCTAAAATATCATTTTTCATTGAGTTTAATGACTTACAATACCATTTTTCCATCAATTTTACTTAACAAAAATGGGATGGTTTAGATTGGAAACAAATTAAAAGACTGGTGTCTAAATTGAAAAAATTAAGAACTTAGGGTTTATTTTGTTACAAGGCTCAAATTCTGTTTTGATTCATGTAACCTACCTGAATTGATTGGGACACAAGTCTTGGTTTTGTTTTTGTTGACTACATCACATCACATTTCACTGAGTTTTATTTTGGATGGATATGATCATGTTAGTTTGTTTACATATCAGTTTGAAATTATGACTTTCTGTATTTTAGGGAACTTAGATGGGTCATTTTTGTGTCAAATTTCTCTCATTGTTATAGGTATTACAAGAAGTTTTGCAGTGCTATTCCATCCTAGATAATCTGTTTGGCAAGGTTTGCATCATTATAGACAAGGTCAGTCAGTTGTATAATTTGTCCAGTTCTGGAATGCTGCCACTTCTCTTCCAGTTACTCTTTCGATATAGCTGCTTATATACTTGTGAAGCTTTCGTCTAGTGGTTTTATACAAACTGTATAAAGGAAGCCATCTGCTACTACAATTTTAAATTTATAATATTGCGAACCTTTTTAAGGTTAACTTGTTTCAAAGCATATGTGTCAGCTTACAAGTGATACTAGGCAGGGAATGAGACATTTTCCTAAAAAGATGCTTCCTGACCACATGGATTAATTTAAAGGATAGCACTAGAAAATTTAACTAACAGTTGTATACTCTTAAGTTCATGGTCGGTGTTAAGAGCTTGTTGACATCGGTAGTAGTAGTATAATAACAACTCCTAAATTAATCTGATAGTGATGAACATATCTAGATCTATCATCCTTTTAGATGTTGCTTGGCTTGGGGGAAGGTTGTTTGTCTATTACCTCTCCTAGACGCCGTTGTATGCATGCCAACTTAGAGCACGCAAGTCCTGCATTGACCCATCAACTGTGTGCACCTAGATTTTTCTTGTTCCATCGAGAGTTAGTCATAGATATTTTTTGCTCCTACGAGAGTCTCCCTACAAGCCCATCAACATCGTTTCAACCAAGAGAGTCTACCCATAGATAGGTAGCCATTGGCTTTGATACCACTTGTTGGGAAATTTAGAAAGCCTGTGAACATGCAACAACACTGGCCCAATTTGTCATAGAGAAAACACCAAGGTCCAACATATATTGTTTTTTTTTTTGGGTAGTTCAGCTATGTAATAAAATAGCAAAATATATAAGATTACAAGTGGAATGCCCCAAGCCCTACTACAAAGCTAACAAGAAACAAAAAAGGACACTAACACTAAATTGGAAAGAAACTAGAAAGGAAAACAGACAAAGCCCCTAACTAGGAGAGCAAACTACAAAATCTAGAGACAATATCTACAACATTAGCAGCAAAAGACATCAGCAGTAGCAAGACAATGACAGTAGCAGCAGGAGCTGGAGAAATCAAAGAGCAGCAGCAGCAGCATCCAACAACCTGCTCCATATGTTAAGAAACAACATCAACCTACTCTAAACCTCAAGAGCAATCGCAGAAGTAGCCAACAAGCTGCCTTCAGCAACAATGACAGACAAAAACAAATTAAAAACAGCTATCCTCCCTCATCTTGTTCAAAAACCATATATAGAAGAAATATGGAGCATTGAATAGGCCTAAACAAAGAGAAACAACATGCACAGCCTACATGGGTAAGCAAAGTAAGACGAAAATAAGATATGACCTGCCGCATTTACATACAAAGAGTAGCAAAACACGATAATTAAATAAACTAAAAGAAGAGGACTCTATAAAACAGCTCTTCAGAATCCAATCCTGCTAAGTATGACCAGTAGTATTCAAAGGGGTCCAGGCAGCACCAACATCCATTTTCTTTAGCAAAATTGGAGATACACAAAATCCTGTAAACATCCAGCTGGCCCAAACTTCCACAGAGCTAGAGTAACCTGTTTGCACAATGATGGAACAAGCTCAAACCTCTAAGGGAACAGAAGTATGGTATAGAACACACACAACACAACACATATCTGGCTCACCACGCTCAACCCACTCACTAGAATATGCACTTAAGAAAATAATTTAGGGCTAAATTCACTCATCCCTCTACAAAGGAACTCCCTCACTCAAATGTACCAGCTAGACAAATCTGCAAAGTAAACAGTTAGAGATAATGATTTAGTACTCACAACGCTCAACCCACATATGAGGAGTTCACCCGTTCCCTCAGAAGATAAGCACCAATGGACCTAACATATATAAGCTCACATCACTCAACCCTCAACATCCCTGACAAAGTACCAGCTGGACAACCTGCACAGTAAATCATTAGGGAAAATAAGGACCACAGCTCCCACCAAAGGACACCCACAGCCCAAGGAAATCTGCAAGAGAATGCTGAACTAAAACAAACCAAATCATCATTAGGAACACTGTACAAACAATGCATAAACAAGAATAGACATCATTATGGTATAAGTAACTTCAACACAGTGGAGGGGAGCTTCCACTTGCTAATAAACCACTCATTAGCTTTTTCCTCTCTAAAGTTACACACAGAGAGGATCCTAAGCCTAATAAGATTCTCAATTCTTTTCTTAACAACATTTTCAGGAGAGATTACAGATTGAAAGATTCTGAATTGCTCTCCTGCTAGATACAGTAGACAGAACAAGTAAAAACAATCTTTTTGATAGTGGCAGCCATGGATTTACCAGAAATATGCCTGGTCAGCCAATTCACAAAGCTAAGCCAGGGCTGGGAAGACCAACTAACATTGCAGTTAGCTTGCATAGATCCCTAGATACTGCAGGAAAAGGGTCACCTAAAGAACAGGTGATCATGATCTTCATCCTGGGAGTGACACAAGGCACATTGGGCAGAACTCCTAAGCCCATACAAAACCAACCTATTTAAAATACTAAGTCTGCCATGAATAGCCATCCATACAACAATACTCACCCTTGGAATATGAAACTTGAACCAAATCAGCTTATTCCTGGACACATTAGGCATATGAAGTCTCAATAACTCCCAAGCAGAGTGAATGGAGAATGCCCCATCAGGTGAGGGGAGCTAACTAGGCTCATCATCCCTACTGGAGGGAGTCATCTCACTAGGAATGGTGTTCTTAACTTCTATTAACTCCAAAGATTGGGAAACAGGCCAATTCCAACAGTTGCCCCTAATGATGCTATCAATTTTCACCTGGGCTTGAAGTCCAAAGTCATATACAATCCTATCATCACATTTAAGGTGCAGAGGGCCAAGAAGGTGCCAATTATCATACCATAAAAACGTATTCCTCCCATTCCCAACTTTCATTTTGATATTATGAATCAAGCTAGACCTAAGACCTAGGATTTTCCTTAAACCCAAGAAGGGTCACTAGGCACCTTAACACTTCAGAAACTCCTTCCTTTAAGAAGGTAGGACTTAACCCACTAACTCCATATAGACTACTCACCCCTGGAAACTAGAAACCAAATATGTTTGGAGACAGCAGCTTTGTTCCATATGCTTCGGGACTTAAAGCCTAAACCCCCCTCATTTGTAGCCACACAAAAGTGAACCCAAACCACCTTGGCCCCTGACTTATTCAGCTTAGGGCCAGACCTAAGGAGAGATTCAATGTCTCTGATGATTTTCTTAGGAAGGATAAAGACAGATGACCAATAAACTTGCATAGAGAAGAGAATGGACCCTACCGGTATAGGAGAGAGTCCTCTTAGTCCAAAGTTTGATTCTCTTTGTAATCCTATCAGTAAGCTGATGACAATCAACATACTTCAGTTTAGTGGATATGAGAGGCACACCTAGATATCTAACATGGAGCTGACCCTCACTAAACCGCATGGTATCCAACAGGATAGTCTTTATGGAAAGATCCTCCCTAGAAAAGAACATGTGGCTTTTACCAAGGCTTGGAGTAAGACCAAATAAGGCTTGGAACTTAACCAAAGCATCTTTAATAAGTCTAACAGTGGCTCTATCCCCCTTGTAAAAAATCATCAGGTCATCAACGAAACAGAGGTAACAATTTTTTTCTTCTCATATCTCCAATGAAACTTAAATTGAGGAGTATTAGCCTACATCCTATACAAGATTTCCATAACTATGACAAATAGATAAGGGGAAAGGAGATCTCCTTGTCTTAAACCTCTAGCACCCTTAAAATACCCACACAATTCCCCATTAATGCAAAAGGGTTGGTAACACAAGCGTTAATTCATTGAGTCATATTAGGGGGAAAGGCCATAGCAGTCAAAACATCAAACAAAAAGTCCCACCTAACAGTATCGTAGGCTTTCATGATATCCACTTTCATAGCACACCTAGAGGACTTAGAAGCTCTATGGTAACCTCGCATGAGCACTTGAGAGAGAAAGATATTGTCAGAGATTCTCGTCCCATGGACAAAAGAATATTGGACAAGATCAATAAGACCAGGAAACATAACTTTGATCCTATTAGCTAGGATCTTAGCAATGCACTTATACAGAGAATTACAACAAGAGATAGGTCTATAATCCCCCACCTTACTAGGATTGGGCACTTAGGCACAAGAGCAATCAGAGAACTATTCACCTCCCTAAATAACTCCCCAGAACTAAAGAAAGATTTAATGGCACCTATGACATCTCTACCTGCCAAATCCCAAGAACTCTTAAAGAAACTAGCAGAGAAACCATCGGTTTGTTACTGTTCAAAGATTTAAAGACAGTCTCAATCTCTATATTAGTAACATCCTCAGCTAAAGTAGAGATTTGAGAGTCATCAAGCAATTGAAAAGCCCAATCCACACTTCTCCTTAAAACCCAGGTGTTAAGGAGAGCGAAAGTGGAGCTTTATAACTAGCACAAATGGGGCAACTCCAATCGATGTTGGACACATTCCAACACACCCTCATGGACCATGACATACAATAGTCGGACAAATGGCACACCAATCATAGGGCCAACCAAGCCCTGATACCAAATTGAAAAGCCCAACCCACACTTTTCCTTAAAACCCAAGTATTATGACGAGAGAAACTGGAGTGTTACAACCAGCATAGATGGGGCAACTCCAAGCGATGTGGGACACATTCCAGCACAAGCTTCCATCTGATCAACTCCTGAATTCTATCTAGACCCTGGTAGTTATCATTAAAAGGCTTGCCTAGCAGGTTCTCATAAGCATTGACAAAAAAGGATTTGATATCCTTACATTTGGTGACCTGGGTACCATCCTCCAAAACAACACAATTAATCCTACTTCTATTCCTATTATTAGAGATGGACCTAAAGAAATACCTACTATTTTGCTATCCCCCAAACTTAGCAATTGAAGCCTGGACTTCTGAGAGGCATAGCTCTCCTTAGCCTTGCTAAGGGCCACAAACTTATGACAACACTCTCTCTCCAATTTCTGGAGATTG